TATGTTATTTTTTAGGAAATAAAGATTTTGTTATCGAATTTCTGAGACGGGGTTACTCTGTTGTGTGTGTATTCGTGCGGCCTATCGGGAAAGAATTGTCTGGGGATAATCGATATCCCCCACCAGAATCCTAACCGGCCTATTATTCGGATTTGTCTAGCGTGTTGCTGTTTTCCGTCAACAAGAATATACTGTTCCGTGAGATTTGAAAAGATTTCCAGAATATTAGGAGGCATATTTTCTAAATGCACATTCTTCAAGAAAAAAATCTTAGAAAAATTACAAATTTCAAGATTTTGTTTGGGCTGAAGGGCGGAGAAAAGAAGTACACAATACGCAAACAAAATTTTTAATTCTTGGCTTTATATTTTTAACTTTAAAATTTCGTTTTATTTTAACCTTATTTTTAGAAATCAGATTATGGTAAAGAGAGAGATCGTAGTTGGATTTTTATACAAACTAATATGCTGGTCAGGAACAAGTTTTATAAAATCAATTAGTGATGAATACCATGGTAAAATTAATTATTTCATTATTACTATCATGAAATCTTAATTTTGCAAAAAAATTTCGATAATAAGTGTTAATTTTTATTTCTTAACCTGTTTTTATTTATGCCATTGGTTTACAATAGAATTTTTGTCACATTTATCATCCAGGTTGTTAAATAATTGAAAAAACGTTTCTTCTGTGGACCATCATTAATGGTGAAATTTTACAAACGAATTTTAGAAACTACACATCGTAAAAACGTCTAATTGGTATCGTTAAGATCCTACAGTAGTTTCATAAATACAGGGTGAGTCAAAAAACAAGCGTGATTTGCGGCGCCTGGTGCAAAATTGTACCTTTTTGTGCAACTCTTCTGTATGGTGTTTTTTCAATCATTTTTGAAAATTTGTAATTTTTTTTGGTACTCCAATTTGTGACAGACTTAGATTTTCTAATCGCTATATCTATGCAACCTAATGGTATACACCCCTGTCACATTATAAATTTAGACTATTTCATCTAACTAAATTCATATTTTGACATATCTAAGATCTACAATATTGGGTTGAAAAGATATAGGGATTAGAAAATCAGATTTTGTGGCATAGACTCAAAAGAAATTGAAAATTCGAATACTGTTTTTCATAAATAAATGATGTGTTTATACAACAAATATACTTTATTGACGTGGTGAATACATTGTAACAAATGGAAAAACTAAAAACATTATTATTTTTACAATTTATAAACAAATATAAATGTCTATACTGATTAGATGTGATGAAGTTTATTGTTCTAATACTGGGACAGACAGGAAGGAAAAAGATCAGAAAAGGAATTGAGTCTTTGACACAAACTCTGATTTTCTAATTCCTATATCTCTGCAACCCAATGTCGTAGACCTTAGATATTTCAAACTATGCATTCTGTTGGATCAAATTATCTTAGTTTGAACTATCAAAAGTCTACAACATGAAGTTTCAAAGATAATAATCATACAGGGTGATTCTTAGCAATTGTTTTTTTATTTGTCAAATTTTCAAATATTGGGCCTGAAAATCTGGGAAAATTCACCAGTTTGAATCGACATTGAAGGATATTCTTCAACACGGAGGACTTTTAAAGAAAATAAAAAGTACCCATCCACTTTTAAAGGATCACATTCAGTAATTGGCTAATACAGCAACTTGAATTTGTGATAGCAGCGTTACATTTACAATTCACAAGGAAAACCCTTTCACCCTCAAACAGATTAGAAATGATTTCATTTGTCTGTCTTGAAGAAGAAGTGTTTGCCACAAACTCTGATTCTCTTATTCCTTCATCTGTGAGACTAGATGTCAGATCAGTTAGATGTTAAGTCAAATAATCTTGATTTCAAACTTCAAAAGTTTACACCAGGTTGCAAAGATATAGGAATTAGAAAATTTTAGTTTGTGGCAAAAATGTTTAATCTTTATTCTTTTTTCTGCGGTATAAATTCAAAAGTCCTTTTTAAGAAAACCGTAATTTTAAGAAATCAAGTTTCTTCTAAAAAAACATTGATTATTCTTTTTATTTATATCCAATGTTTTTTGTGTTTAAAATCCTTAAATAAAGTCACTTTTAGCTCACCATTTGTGTCTACATAGTAGAAAGATACATATTCCATAGGATCAATTTTAAAAATATATTTTTAATTTTTTTCTGATCATTTTCAAGGGTATCTTTGTTAAAATGCATTTTTAAATGTAGGATATACTAAATAAATGTTTTGTAGAAGAGAAGCCATGCATGTGAAATTTTTGTAGAAATTTTGCGTACCTATAGATTACATATGTTTACATCTAAATGGGCGAAGTGAGTTTTTTTAAATATTTAATATTGTAAACCATCAAATGTGTTGTACAAATTTGGGTTAGAGAATTTACTTTTAAAGAAAAACTTGTTAACCCTATATAACCGGGTGAAAGAAAATGAATACTTTGAAGTTTTTAAGTTTTTAAAAAACGTTTTGGCAATTTTTTTAAGGATTAATTTTTCCAAATTCAAACTGTATATATAATATAGCTTTAGCAATTTTGTGTTAAGTCTAAGACTGCGTGAGAAATTTCCCACATTTCAACCATTTTCAAAATTACATTTTTCTAATCTTTTCTAAGTGAAAATATACTTTTTGCTGGGAACTTTGGTGTTGGATACTTAAAGCTCCCTTCAACCCCTGACTGGGTAAGATTACCATGTGCTGGATATCGAATAAAAACAAAATTGATCTACAGATTAACAAAATATCCAGAGCTGAAAACTTTAGAATTGTGGATATCGAGATTAATGCTTGATTCTCTTTTTTTCTTAATATCAAGACTAGCTTAATCTTGTACTTGTATCCTGAAAAGTGTATAAAATTCAACCAATCAGAGTAGCGTTTAAGAAGCCTGGAAAAGCCTGGAAATTTGAAATTTTGCGTGCCATTTAAGATCAATATATACAGTAACGGGAGGGAATCTCTAATTTAAAAAACCGGTTTTTGATTTTTCTCTGCAAAATCCAAGAAAGAGTAGTTTAAGAAGAAAATCAAAAGTGTGTCCATTGGATACTCAGATTAAGTAATCGGGATTAAGGATATCTCATTCTAAAGTTTTAGCTCTGAAAACAAGAGTTCCCAACTCTAATGGCTTTTAACAAATATTTAAATAACAACTAATTTTTCAGAAAAATAATATTTTTTGAGCTTGAATCAGCAGCTGTAATATTTAAACCATTATATTTACAACAAGTAACATCGAATACATTTATTACGAAGCAAAACTGAGATAAAGGAACGTTCATGATTGTTGAAAATGAGTTTAAAAATCGATATTGATCAGATGGAAAGTAAATGTCATGTTTCAATTTAGCGGGATTCGATTCGAATAATTTTCAAAATTAATAATTCTTATAAATATCAAAAATACTTCCGTCCTTCAAAAATTTCTATAATTATTGATTTGTCTACCTTTAAAAGGTTTCTAAAATAAAATAAATAAAGACTTATGATCATAAATTAAATTAGAATTTTTTAACAATCACTGTCTTCAAATTCTTGAACAAACCTTTGAGGGTTAAACATTTTTAAATGGATTTAATATCTTTACAATATGATTGGAGTAAAATACTATAAGCGGATATTTTACTCTATAATGAGTAGGTAAAATTGACAGATTATGACAGTATATCGACAAATGCATTCATTTAGATTTTGACATCTATTAAGAATATCTAATACAGTTGTCAGAATATTTTTATATTATTCTCTTAAAACGTTTGACTAAATTTAGTTAATAATTTAGAAATTTAATGAAATGGGACTTTTTCATTGATCTTTTATAACTAATATTTTATCAACAGAAATTTTTATATTTGAAAAAAAAATTTTTGATTATTTTGATTTTTTTTTAATACCTTATAGTTTAATTGATCTTAAGATCCACTTTTGTTTTGATGGAAAAAAAACCATTGTGCAAAGTGAAGCTAAATTCATGAAATTGACTTTTTGCAACCTTTAAAATTCGGATATTTCAAACTAGGATTACTCAATCTAACAAAATTTATAGTTTGAAATACCTTTGGTCTACAATACTTGGTTGCAAAGATTTTGGGATTAGAAACTCAGAGTTTGTGGCAAGTACTCAGTTCCTTCGTTTAATCCTGGTAGGTAGCATTGTATGGAACTCTAATCAAAGTTACTCAATCTTAAATGCTTCATCAATTCAAAATTTGAGGATATCTGCTTGATCCCTTAACTAAAGCTATCCTTGCAGGGTATGACCACCATGGGATATCAAAGAGGAATTGAATTAATGCGCAGATCTGCATATGTTGGAGATCAATGCATAATTTGAGATTCATAATACAATAATTATAACGTCTGATCAGGCTGTACTAGACTTTGGCACTATGACAAAAACATGACGTAATTATTGTGTTTAAATTACGTAATCTGGTGAGTAGAGTATTTAATCTGCTGATATCTGTTTCAGCTGAACTTGTTCTGGTTTTGAGGTGTATATAATCTTTATCTTCTCCGGATTCTGTGACAGGATAAGAACATGTTTTCTCTGGGTCTCTGGTTCATCAGTATCCAGGTCTGTATCCTCCTTGATGGGTTCCTTCTCTTTCTCATACTGAGTCAAGTATGGTGCCTACAAGGTTCAGAATCAATTTTTAATTAGTTTTTAAAGGGAGTGGTCATTAATTTTGGTTACTTCAGGAGAATCTAAAAAGCCAATCAGTGTCGACGGGGGGTTTTCTAGTTTTGTAATGTAAAACATAGTTTGATAAAAAGTTTGTCCTCAGATTAGCAAAAATCAAAAAACAGTCCCTCTTTAAAGTTCAGGAACCCTCCCTTTTAAATGGGCTAAGAACTACCTTTGGCAGTGTGTCAAAGTTGGATACAGGAGAAATATACGCCAGTACAGTGCTTGTACTTTCACATGTCTAAACACAACAGATTTAACTTTATTAAAAAATCCCCCCCCCCATTTCAAATTGGAGACTTCGAAGTTTTCCTCACTGATCCAATTATTTCAGAAATTATATACCCCAAGCTGTTCATAAGTTACCCCCCCCCCTAGTTTAATTCTAAAAAAAAAAATTTTAAAAAAAATTTTGAGTTTTAAAAAATTAGGTTGTGTCTCAGCTGAATGAACTGAAATAGCAGGAAGTGTCATATAAAAACCAGGCTTTGATGCCTCTCAAATAAAAACTTTGGGTATTGTTCAATAAAGTATTCAACTGATCTATTTTTCCCAATGATTTAAAAAATATATTTATTCACCTCAATAGCTTTCATTTCTAGGTCATTGTTTCTCTCAGCTTTATCTTTCCGATCTAAAATGATTATAGCATATATTATTTTTAGGAATTTTATTTCGGTGAATAATTCTAAACTTGTCTGCTTTAGAAAACATCGGATTGAAATGTATTTTAAATTTGCGCATAATTTCAGATTACAGTTATTCGAAAATCTTTCCATAGATTGAACAATTCAAGCCCGCATAGAATAAGACTGCAATGACGACCCAAAACATGACGATTTAAAGCTTAATTTTGGTTTTTTGCCGTAAATGAATTGAATCTCTGCCACCAACGACATTAGGTTCCAAAGATATAGGGATTTAAAAATTTATGTATATGACAAAGACTCGACTCCTTCATAATTTAAATGGTTTAAAAAATGATTTAGAACAAATAAACTAGTTTTGGCCTACAGGGAACCATGAATGCAAGAAAAAATAATTTTTAAAAATGTGGTGCCACAAAATATTATAATTTAATTATTGAAATATTACGGCATCAATTCGTAAATATAAATTTTTAGTCCTAGCGATTCTCGAAACAATGCTAATATTTGTCAATCCTGTGAGTCTAAAACTGAAGAAATTTTATAACCCTGAGGCCGAAGCCTAAATGAGTTACGCGCACGCCGCGATGAATTACAAGACAGAGAGAGAGCCTGTTCTAATTCCTCATGGTTATTGTGAACGAAAAGAAAAAAATGACATCTTCTAGTATTCTATTTGTATTGTTATTAATCTATAAGTTTTAAATTGCTGGATTGGAATACTGTTAAGGTTTCAATTTTTTTAATAAACAAAAATCGTCTAAACTTCCAATATCTTTGTATTTTTCAAAGTTTCATAATTATTTAGGAAAGCGTACACAAGTATTGATGCTAGAGAACACAAGTTTCACAAAGTATTGATGCTAAAGAACACAAGTTCCACAAAGTATTGATTCTAAAGAACACAAGTTTCACAAAGTATTGATTCTAAAAAACACAAGTTTCATAAAGTATTGATGCTAAAGAACACAAGTTTCACAAAGTATTGATACTAGAGAACACAAGTTCCACAAAGTATTGATGCTAAAGAACACAAGTTTCACAAGGTATTGATGCTAAAAAGACGGTTTTTAAACCGTTTCTGGATTTTAGTATTCTAGGACACACATTATGTTCTTCATGTTTTCAGTAAGTTTAGGATGGGAAAGATGAAAGAAATATTAATTATCTTCACAACAAAGTGAAATAAACTGAGAGGCTGCAAAATAAATTTCTACGTACTTGGTTTCAGAAACAGAAGGATTATGTCTACTTCAAGGAAAAGGTTTCAAATAATTTCTGATTAAGGAATTAAATCTTTGCCACAAACTCTGATTTTATAACCCCTACATCTAAGCAATCCGATGTCGTAGACCTTTTTTGATTATACAATAGATCAAATAATCGAATTTTTAGACATCAAAAGGTTTCACCGTGAGGAGATAAAAATATAAGAATTAAATAGTTCTAGTTTGTGTCAAAGACTTTTCCTTTTCTAAGATTTTATGTCTCTGTACACATATAGGTTTATATAATACTACAATCTATATGTATCCTGAGATGGAATTTAAAGAATTTGAGCCGCGGTTTAAATCCGGCAAAACCCGGTTTCAATCAAGCGCCGGCTTAAATCTTGAAACATTTAATACAATTTTAAGTGGAACCAATCATATTTAAACCGCGGCTTAAATTTAAACCGCCGCTCAAATTCTTTAAATTCGGCCACTGGTGTCTATTTTATGTCTCTGTACACATATAGGTTTATATAATACTACAATCTATGTGTATCCGGGTGTCTATTTTATGTCTCTGTACACATATAGGTTCATATAATACTACAATCTATATATATCTGGGTGTCTATTTTATGTCTCTGTGCACATATAGGTTCATATAATACTACAATCTATATATATCTGGGTGTCTATTTTATGTCTCTGTGCACATATAGGTTAATATAATACTACAATCTATATATATCCGGGTGTCTATTTTATGTCTCTGTGCACATATAGGTTCATATAATACAACAATCTATATATATCCGGGTGTCTATTTGTTTGTCTGTTCGTTGGCCTCCAATAAACGTCAAAGAGGCAGAACCGTTTAGGCCCAAATTATGTGTGGGACCTAGCAGGGAAGGTTTATGGATTGTTGTGAAATATCAAATATAGAAAGAGCACAATCAAAAGTTAAAATAGAGGATTGCCGAGAAGCACCCTAAAGCCTAGTATAGATATAGTACCGTACATAATATTGTGTGCAACTCTATCTTAAAATACTTGATTCTAAACCACTTTTTTGTTTTGTTTAATATTTATGATTTCTATGGACCAAGACAGTTTTTTTTTGATTATTTATACAAAACATTACTATATTTTACTAATTGAAGTAGACAATCATAATGATAAAGACACGACGGAAAACAAAAATAAATAATAAATAAAAAATCCAATTATTTTGTAACATGCAACGTGTTTTTTAGCCTATTTTTTTCTCAACTACTATCAGATGGGAAACGCTTAATTTTTTCACATTTGGAATTCAATTAGATTCTCGAATCCATCGATGGAATTGGGCTTAGGGTTTCCAACGAAAAAGAAAATTTCTGTTAAAAAAATTTTTGCGTTTAAAAAAAGTTTTTGCGAAATTTTGCTTCAATCTGTTGCGCGATTTTTTTGCATTTTTTCACGAAAATAACAATGCGAAAATTTCGCGATAAAATATGGAATTTTTAAAAAATGCAAATTTTTGCGAATATTCTTCAAAAAGACAAAATTTTGATAATACAAGACGATTTTTTTTTTCGCGAAATTTCACTTCGTTTTCGCATTTTTCGCTTCATTCATTGCGAAATACGAACGAAAATTTTCGCTGTACTTAAGGTGTAACTTCAAGATCTATTATTGAAGATTTCCTCTAAGACCTATCATGAACAACTTAAAAGGGTCGACAATAGGGTGTCCCACGAAAAAAAAAATTATGAATGCCGTCTTCCATATACTGTTTTATATATTAAGGGCTTTTTTTAGTTTATTTCGTTAAAAAATTCTTCTGTTTTTATATATATTTTCTTTGAACTCAGTTTTACTATAACATGACTCCCATACAATATTTTTATTATTTTTTTTGGTATCAAACAACTTAACAAATTATGGAAGAAGACATTGTAAACTATTCACGGGTTGTGATTCGTGGGACACCCTGTATTAGTGAGTGGCATGTCCAGTTAACAACGGTAACTTAGTTTTGTCTGATCAAACATAATGAAGGAGATATTCTTTTGTTTTTGGTTGAAAATTGAGTGTTAACTGCTTTCTTCATTTATCCACAGAAAAACTAAAGATCTGTTGATGGTTATGTATATGTACAAGTTTATTGTATTTCAAAATTTTGACATATTTTACGGAAAGTAATTATTTTCCTTTCAAAAATATGGATTTTTCAATTTTGAGTCCGAAAAATAAGGATCCTCCGTCACCAATGATCAAACGTTGGAAACCAGACTTGCGGCTCTTTAATTGGAGGTTCGCTTGAAATTACGCTTACAGTGCACTTTCTTTAATATTGTTAGATATCTAGTTATCTAAGTAAGTTGGTTGTGTCCAGTGTGTGCTAAGTATGACAGATAAGATCCTTGTTAAAACTTTCAAGATTAAAACTCTTTAATCAAGAGTTAAAGGGACTGGGGTCTAATTTCATGGGATCTCGAAGAGGGCCATGTGTGATTCAGTAATTCAAAACGAAACCCTTTAAACCTTTATCTGATCAATAATACATCTATATAAGATATCATAATCATAATGGCCCTGTCCGTTACGTTCACTTAACAAGCCGTTAACAAAGAATTGAAAAAAAAATCAAAAATTTACCTATTTCAAGAATTTCTACGTCAGTGCAGACAGTCATTTCCTTGTTGTCCTAGACAAATGTTATTTCAATGATAACTATTTATGACATTATTATTTTAGTTCGCAGTGCTATAAAGTATTTAGACAGAAATTTTCACTTTTACTTTTTAGATTATATTTTGTCCCGAGCTTTAGCGAGAAACAGGTAATTTTATAAAATGTTTGTGTACTTGTCTTATTGCAATGACTATTTCTAGATAAAATAAGCTTTTAAACATAAAGCAGAAATAAAAATATAAAATTAATTTCATTTATAATGAAAAGAATATTTTGGAAATATTCTAAAATTCTTGGAGAAAATCCGGGAACCAATCAAAATTTTATATCACACGTTCTATAACGTACAGCTTCATAAAAAATTTTAAATTGAAAACTGTCTTAAATGAAAATTTTTGTAATTAAATAAATCATATAATCTATTTTTTGCTGGTTCGCTAAAGTGTGTCCCAGTAAAAGTGAGAATTGAAAGACGACCAAAAATGTCAAATATGTATGAAATAGTTAGATGTCAACTCGACTCAACTTTTTAAACCAGGCAACAAAAATGCCCAATTGGTTCAGGGATTCATGAGTTATGTTCAGATAAATAAACAAACAAAACCTGATCTTTTGTATTTGTATTTCCATGCAAAGTTTAACACATTGTTTCCGAGCTGTTTAAGGTTTTAAAGATATTAACATTTACTTTCTTTTATGTTGAGTTCACATTGTTTTGCATACACCCCATTTTACAGGAATTCAATTGGTTTTTAGATATTTAAACACAGAGGTTTAAAGGCCGGGTACTGTTCCGTCTTTGCATTTAGCGTCCCCTGAAATTACGCGAACAGTCCCTTTAAGGAGTTTATTTTCCCATCACTGAACCATCTTTTAAAAAGTGTATTACCTGGGGAATATTATTTTTATTTTCCCCCTCATCCTCTTCTTCTTCACTATCCACACGGTTTATTCCCGCACAGTCTAGGAAAATAATTAGTCTATTCCCGCACAGTCTGGAAAAAATAATTATTTTTTCCTGCAAAGTCTGGGAAAAATAATTAGTTTATTCCCACACTGCCTGGGAAAATAATTAGTTTATTCTAGAACAGTCTGGGAAAAATAATTAGTTTACTCCCGCACAGTCTTGGAAAATAATTAGTTTATTCCCGCACAGTCTAGGAACATATTTAGTTTATTCCTGGACAATCTGGAAAAAAATTGGTTCATTCCCGCACAGTCCGGAAAAAAAAATTATTTTTTCCAGCAAAGTCTGGGAAAAATAATTAGTTTATTCCCGCACTGTCTGGGAGTATTAATAAGTCTACTCCCGCACTGTCTAGGAAAATGATTAGTTTATTCCCGCAAAGTCTAGGAAAATAATTTGTTTAGTCCCGCACAGACTGGGAAAATTTACAAGATTTTTTTTTTTACATGAGCAACGACAAGCTTACTTTAGCTATTCTACAACATACAGATAAAGTTTTAAATTCGTACAGTCATCCCTTGAGTATTGAAGAATCTATTTTGTAAAAACTTACTGACGTTAGAGAACTGTTTTATCTTCCTGATACTCTTACAGAAGATCTTCTTGAACTTCTCACCAACAGAGCAGTAGATCAGGAAGTTCAAGGAGCTGAAATAACATTTTCAATAAGTTTGGACAATAGAGTTATAAAGATAAACATCATCACAAAGGTCGATTAATGCCGACAAAAGGAATTGAGTCTTTACCACAAACTCAAACTTTGTCATTCCTATGACTTTGATATTTCAAATTTAGATTAAATGGTTTAACAGAATTCATAGCTTTAAATATCCAAAATGTACGACATTGGATTGCAAAGATATAGAAATCAGAGTTTTTGGCAAAGATTTAATTTCTTTCTTTAAAAGGAAATGATTTGGAAAATAATAAGCTTTGCAAGAAATAAAAATTATTATTTGGAATAAGGTAAAATAATAATTTAATCTAATTTAATTTGAATTTAAAATGATTTAATTCAATTTAATTTGAAACATAAGTAGTTTACCTGTTTAGAGTGAGGAAAAGATGGCTGACACTGATCAAAATCTGCCACCAAACTGGATCACAGAAGTATCCTAAAATAAATTAATTACATATTCAACGTACTGTGAGAACCAGAAAACTCTGGAATAGGAAGACGACTTTTAGACTCAATTAAAACTTGAAATAGTGAAAGGGAATGTTTGCAAAAAATGAAAGGGGGTATAGATTACTTTCAGTATAAGCCCTTGTTTTTTTTGGCCAAAATAATCTAACTAAAACAATTTTTGAAAACATTGTTGCTAATTGTTTTGATAAATCTTTTTGTTTAATATCTTAGGTTAGAATAAAAATGTTTCATAATGTAAAAGCAAACTTGTTAAGCGCAACATTTTGCAACATATTTTCCAAAATATTAGGAGCCTATTGAAGTAAACAAACTTTGGATGTTTAAACACGGCATCTTACATAACTGTTCATATAGACTTACACAGTCTTCTAAAGAATAATATTTTTGCAACTGATTTAATAAAAGAAATTGGATCATCCCAAAAATAATATTTTTCAGTGATTTGGAACACTTTACAATACATTCATGACATCTAAATTAGCGATAACATGCTTTGTTTTTTTTATTGTTTTTAAGAAATTTGGAATTAGAAAGGTTCCGTATAATTTGAAAAGTTTTACGAATTTCAAATTTATTTATTCTTATAATTTACTGTCTCTACACTTTGCCCAATTTCAGCTCTAAGAGAAGATACAAATGCAAAAAACGGTGAAACTGATAAAAATGTTGCCAATTTTCCAATGTTTTATGAAACTGATGAAAATGTTGCCAAGTTTCCAATGTTTTATGAAACTGATGAAAATGTTGCCAAGTTTCCAATGTTTTATGAAACTAATGAAAATGTTGCCAAGTTTCCAATGTTTTATGAAACTGATGAAAATGAGGCCAAGATTCCAATGTTTTATGAAACTGATGAAAATGTTGCCAAGTTTCCAATGTTATATGGAACGTCACTTGAAATTCCAACTAAAGTCGCCTTTAAAGGGACTGTACGAGTACTTTCAAGGGGCCCTTCGTGTAAATATGGCATCGACCGATTAACAACGATACCCTTAAAAGCATTGCACAGCAAACCAAGATGTGCACACTCCCAAGCAAAAATTGAGGAGTATTTTGTCGATAACTCCTCTGAGATTTTAGCTAACAACAATCATGTTGCATCTTAAAAACTTACATGTCTAGGGATACTAAAAAGTATCAGCGAGTATAAGTATAAGTATCAGCGAGTGTAAATCCAAAAATGTTATGAATAATTTCAGAGTTGTCTAAATATCTCAGAAGTTGTTTGCTCAAGTTTGAATTATATATAAATATATATCCATGATTATAATTTTTAACTACTAATGCAAAAAAAATATAAATATAGGAATCATCATGATGAAACACTATATTTAATCTACAATATCTTGCACATTCTTATCCAAATAAAGGTTTCAAGAATACCGTTGTAACCGTGAGTCGGGCAGTGAGGGTCACTCTAAATTTCGCTTTTAGTCCCTTTAAATTGACTGTCACTTGAAATTTCGCGTACAGTCCCTTTAAACGTTGCTTTAAACTTACCATTTTCCGGATTCTGAAAGTAGAACTCTGCTAGGTTTACAATAAGCCTGGGAACATTAGAGACCAAGAAAACCAGAACTACAAATAGAAGTTATACTTTATTGTTATATTATCATATATTATCATATAATTTCAATCGTGGCCATATTATTAATTTACACAATATATGTTAAACTAATTTACACAAAAGGTTGAAATTTGATTAAACAATCATTGTGTACTTTATCATTCTTAATAACTTAATGGTGAATCTAATGATGAACTTACTATAAAGTAATCGTCGTGCTATAAAGTTAAATTAGCTATACATTAAAGGACGTGTGCAATAACGTTTTGATTGGTTCCCGGGTTTTCTCCAAAACGATTTATGATAATTCCAAGATATTTTTTCAATTAGATCAAAATAAAATTAAAATAAGTTTTATATTTTTTCTGCTTTCTTAAAAAGCTTATTTTATCTAGAAATAGGCATTGCAGTAAGACAAGTACACAAATGTTTCATAAGTTACCTACAACACTATTATTATTTCACGACGTGCTATATATTTTTTGACTTAAATTTTCTCTGTATCGAGAAGCCTTTTAAGATTTTAATTTGTCCCGAGCTTTAGCGAAAAGAAAATTTACAACTTCAAACTGATAACGTTTTTGATTAGCCTCCTTATATTGTTCTAAAATTTATGTAAACGAACAGCTGAATATTTTCTTGTACACTGTACACTCTAGTTTGCCGTGATGTGTAATTTACTTTAATTTAACGTGCCCCCCCCCCCCCTCCCCCCACAGATTTGGAATGTATGTTTCATGAATGTTCTGGTGTGGTTGTAAAAGCAAATAAATTTGATAAGTTTGTATTAAAATCGACGATAGTGTAGATCACATTTGACGATTTTTGGATACAAACAAAAGTACAGATATTTATATATTTTTTAATCTTTTAGTTGATCATTTCAGATTTTGAAAATTTTTCTTTTTTCACTGGCGGATAAAAAAATTCATTTTATAAATGGAAAATTCCTTTATTTCGACCACAAATAAACTTTTCCTGTGGTCATGTGAGGTTCTGTAGAAAATGTTGGCCCAATCGGTTCAGTTGTTTTTCATTTACTTTGAAAAAAAAACAACAAAAAAACTACACTATAAAAGGACAATTAGAATTGGGATTTCTATAGATTTTATTTAAAACCCAGATAATCAAATACATTATATTGTGTCTACCAATATTAATAACAATACAGATAGAACACTAGATGTCGTCTTTTCAATATTTAGGGGGTTTTCGTTCATGATAACCCTGAGAAGCCCAAAGGAGTTACGCTCTCTCTCTGTCTTGTCATTCAACGCGGCATGCGCGTTACTCCTTTAGGCTTCTGTCTCAGGGTTATTGTGAATGAAAAACCCCTAAATCTTGAAAAGACGACATCTAGTTTTCTATCTGTATTGTTATTAAACTATGCTACCAACTCTGTAAACATCTACTTATATGTGGGGAAGGGGGTGATGGTATCGATATTATGGGGTGGTGGCGATTTTTACATATCAAATAATGGATAAACAAACAAACATAAAAAAGCAAAATGTTATAGAAAATATATTGAAATATTAATTTAGAAATGTATGTGTAATGGTGTATACATTACATTTAATGGAAAAGTATACAAAATTTTTTTTAAATGCCAAAAATGATTCAAACTTATCATAGTTTCTATCTAGGCTTCCAGACGTTTTATTGTAAATTTCAATAGAATGTTTGACTGCCATCATATTGTAACAAAAATGTTGCAAATTCAAGCATTTAACAGGTCTTACATTCGATACTTTAGAGGTGGTTGTAGAAAATTGTGGGCAAATAATATTTCGGAGCACTTCTTCAGATAATGCACTGCCTAAACAGTCCCATTTAAATAATGAAATGCAGTCTCGTTAGCAGCGGCTGAGTAATTATTGCTGTTTTGCGCCCCATAGACAAAAAATATTTCGTCTCTCTAAAGGTTTTTCTCTAAATGTAATAACTTTTCTTTGAGCAAAGAAGAAACAATAGTATTTATTTGAAAAGTTTGTAAGTGTCAAAGAAAAGTTTAAAATGGATATTTCTGTTGTGTTTTAAACAGCATTGTTTCTCTTTCTTTTTCTTATGTTTACACATATATGTATTTGTAATTTTACTATTCATAATGTGTCTATACACTTCATATAATGTACCTAGCCAATAATATATGTTAATTAGATTAGATTAGATTAGATTAGATTAGATTAGATTAGATTAGATTAGATTAGATTAGATTAGATTAGATTAGATTAGATTAGATTAGATTAGATTAGATTAGATTAGATTAGATTAGATTAGATTAGATTAGAAATGAAAAGTTTATGAATTAAACAATTGTTTCAAATTTGAATTGTAATATGTACATACTACATAGATACCAGGACTAGTAGAACTATATACATATGACTAGTAGAACTATACCTAGGACTAGTAGAACTATATACCTATGACTAGTAAAACTATATACCTATGACTAGTAGAACCATATACCTATGACTAGTAGAACTATATGCCTATGACTAGTAGAACTATATGTACCTAGGACTATAGAACTATAACCTATGAATAGTAAAACTATATACATATGACTAGTAGAACTATATACTTATGAATAGTAGAACTATATACTTATGACTAGTAGAGCTATAAACCTATGACTAGTAGAAATAAATACCTATGACTATTATAACTATATGTACCTATAACAAGTAGAACAATATGTGCCTATGACTAGTAGAAATATATGTACCTATGACTAGAAGAATTGAAGCAAGGTTTCCCGCTTTCTTTGCAGCTGCAGATCGTCTCTATATAATTAGAAAATTAGAAAGGATCTCCCAAGGGGGGGGGGCAAACAACTTTTTTGCGCTTCTCACATATTTCACCCCCCCCCCCCCAGATTTATTTCTGTCGACGCCCTTGGCGAGATGAAATTGTTATGACGGCGTGGGTACAAAACACCCACGCTTTAAACTACCTAAATTTTAAAAACACGTAAATTTCATTTCAGGGTAAAAACATATAATTTTCATTTACAGGTAAAAAAAACACTTAACTTTTATTTTTGGAAAGAGACATCAAAATTTTAAAATGAACTTTTGTGAGTGTACAAGACATAAACATTTCATTTAAAAGTAAAAAAAACTAAATTTCATTTTAGAAAAGAAACAGCTAAATCTTTAAAAATTAACGTTTTAAATTTTAATGATGTTTTCGTTTAAATCTAAAAGTTAGGATGTTTTTACCTTCAAATGAAATTTAGGTGTTATGTATGGTGTTATGTATATAAGGTGATTACACATTTTGTGTGATTTAAAAATGAACGTTTTAAAATTTAATGATGTTTCGTTCAAAGCTAAAAGTTAAGATGTTTTTACTTAAAAATGAAATTTAGGTGTTATGTATCTTCGGGTGTTTTGAAAATAAGGTATTTACACATTTTGAGTTTTAGGTGATTCAGAAGTTAAGTTTTTAGGTGTTTTGTACCAACTCCGTTTAGACTTAGTTGAACCACTTCCCTTATGAGCCGACTCGAGTTGGAAAGAAGTGGTTCATCTAAGTCTAAGTAGCTTAACTCATTCTGTACCTGGACGACAGTTGTAGGCCTCTGCATCCTGCAGTAGATCATCAGGTTCATGGCGGACAGGTAGAGGAACGGACCCACGCCGGTCAAAATCAACCTGATAGAAAATTGTATATATTTATTTATTAATTTATTCTCGTACAAAAAAGTTATTGTACAGAAATGAAAGGATTTTAAAAATCTACAATCTTATTGTATTCAAATCCATTGATTCCAGGGCCCACGATCTACTATGCAAAGCTCTTCTCTATTTTAGACCCTGAACTTCACTTCAAACTTTTTAAAAGTACAAATCATTTTTATAGAATGAACAATAGTCAGAATGAAATTTTGTTGGAGTGAAACATTAAGTACACTATGCAGAGATTTTAAAAATTTCAAAAAAAAATCCAGGGTCCATTTAGATAAAACAGCTGTGAAGACCACCCACAAAATTACATGTACGCTGGTCCTGAATAGTATAGATCGGTAGATAAGAAGCATATAAATAAGCAGGCCGTGACTGGAACAGCCAATCATTGCTGCCGGGAAGTTTGAAATTTTGCCCGCCATTTAATGAGTGGACTCTCATTGGTCAAACATATACAGATATCCAGAAAGAGAAAAAGAGCGGATTAAGGAGGAAATTAAAAGTGTCCACGTTGGATATTCAGATTAAGCATTTGGGATTAAAGGTATCCGATTCAAAAGTTTTCAGCTCTGGTATATATCTAAAAGTTATAAGAAAATTGGGATTCTCCAAGACTGATGTACAGGGACATCTTCATGTTTCAAATTATGTTTGATTACATTTTTGTAATAAACCAGAAAACCTGGGGCTATGCTTAAAAATCGGTCACTTGGTATTACGTATACTGTCCCTTTAAGCATTAAAGCATTAAAGGTATGGGAAAGGTATGGGAAAGGTATGGGAAAGGTATGGGAAAGGTATGGGAAAGGTAGGAGAAAGGTATGGGATAGGTATGGGAAAGGTATGGGAAAGGTATGGGAAAGGTATGGGAAAGGTATGGAGAAGGTATGGGAAAGGTATGGGAAAGGTATGGGAAAGGTATGAGAAAGGTATGGAGAGGTATGGGAAAGGTATGGGAAAGGTATGGGAAAGGTATGGGAAAGGTATGGAGAAGGTATGGGAAAGGTATGGGAAAGGTATGGGAAAGGTATGAGAAAGGTATGGAGAGGTATGGGAAAGGTATGGGAAATGTATGGGAAAGGACCCACGCGCAGCCGATCACAATGAAACCGCCAAGAGAGTAAATGTAGTTCACATATAGGTGACTATTTCTAGTGAGTGAGTTTAAGGAGTTACCTGTACGATTATGAAAGATTTTTTGTATTTCTATATAATTCCTTTTTCCCTTTTTATTTATTTCTCTCTCCTGGGAACCAATATATGTTATAAAAACGTTATAAGTTTTCTCCCACTATATCATGAAACATTTAGCAAAAGAAATAAAGTAAATATTGAACAGAAATACTTTTCCCAAAAACTATGAATCCTAAAAGATGATAAAAACTTTTCTATTTTGCGATGTAAACCAAATATTGTAATTTAAGAAATTTTAGTTCATGCATTTCTGACAACAAAATTCTTTTTTAAAAATTAGTTTTTGGTATGGAATTTGCAAATTTTTGTGAAATCTTTATTAGACCAATTAATGAAATGGTTTTGTATCTAAAAGGTGTTTCTTAGCTTCTTTAAATTATGAAAATCTTTGCTCTGAACAGAATTAAAAAGAATTTATTTTGACAGATATGTTTGAGTTCAAAGATTTATTATCATTCTTTGTAAATCAGTGAATGAAAAATTATTTTTGAAATTAAACAATGTCCGAATTTAATGAATTTAAGCTGCGTCTCAAAACCCCCCAAAAACTGGTTTTTATTGAGCGCCGGCTTAAATTTAAAATTGAATACAATTTTAAGTGGAACCAACCATATTTGAGCCGCGGCTTAAAATTAAGCCGCGGCTCAAATTCTTTAAATTCGGCCTCTGTTTACAAAAAAAAATAATGATTTTATCAACTTTTTAGAAGAAAAAGAAAAATATTGGGGACTATTTTGTTTAAATTGGTGGATTTTCAAGCATCGTGAAAATTGACATTATTTTGATTTATGGCAAAGCTTTTCAATTTCGACCAGCCATGTTCCTTGCAATCAACATATAAATTGCCACAAAAAAACCTGTGCCCGATCTTTTAAGCTGTTTACAGGGGAATTGGATCAAATAAAAAAATATGAAATCTTAATGGACATTCAACAATTATTGTTCAAGTTATTTTGTGCTGAAACCCCCAGGTGTATAGAAAGATTTTTCATTGATTTAAAAAATGGGATTTACCATAAGGGGAGTTGTAACTAGATAATGATTTTATCATTTTCCTAGATTTTGATATTTTTTTCTTTTCAGAGTAAACTGCAGGGTAACCCACAAAGAAAAGGGCTGCCTGTAAACATTAAACTCTTTAAAGGGAGTGACCGGCAATGTATGGTAGTTGAACTGAGATTGCAGTATTATTGAGAAATTTTTAAATACGCTACGAGAACTTGTTATGGAGTAGGTATTTACCACACAACTACCATAAATTGCCGGTCATTCCATTTAAACATGGTGATTCCAAGGTCGAATTAAGCCCTCTGCTTTGGTTATACTCTTTTTATGGACCTTTTTTGATTCGGCAAAGAAAGGAAAAGGTTTTAAATTGCATGATTCATGAATATAAGGAAAAAATAGCCCCCAACCTGGTCCAGTGAATGTAGTAGTAAACATAGTCGGTGTCAAGACGCAGTTCAGTCGGAGCATAATACGGTTCAGCCGTTTCATTGTTTTCTGCATCCTTGAAGGTCTAAAAACAAGATTATTAATTTGAAATTTTCAAAAAAAAACATGTATATTTATCTGCGCTGCCAGGTTATTATTGAAATTTCATATTACTTCAATTTACTTTATGGGTACATTATGTTACGCTGTCTTGGTATACGTCATCTTTATTTCAAAATATTTAGAATTTGATGCTTTTACTTTTATTTTTTTATATATGAATAGTTCCATTGAAAAATTATACTCCATGAACTGGCATTTAGAAAGCATTACTTTTTTCATGCTTTTAAGTGAGATTCAAGGCCAAAAATATGTATTTATAAAATGTTATGAAAGATAAAAGAAACAACCCATTTTTTGCCCTCAAAATCATTTTTGACACTTACCAGAAAAAAAACGCTTTGAAATAGGAAATTACCTAATAAGACGTTCAAATCTCAAACCTGGGAACTTTTCTTTGATTTGATTACAAAATACTTTAAAACATCCCTTACTATTTAACATGACTGAACCAGCTTCGGCTACCCTACCCAAGATATTGATTTTTAATTCCAATTCATGGTTCATAAAATTATTCTTGAGAGATCTAGATTCCTTGTGACCAATGTATTAAAACATGCATGTGCAGTTCTTGAAATTTTACAAGAGCTTATTCAAACTTGGATTCAAACCACTTCAGCGACCCTACACGGGTGCTTTCAAGAGACTTCCAAATAAAAAAATAAAAAATTTGCTCTGAATGTTTGCTTACATTACATGCTGTAAAATCAAATTGTTTTGTAGATTTGACTTATATCTTATATCTCTAACTTTACAAAGACAGGGTCACTTTAAATTTAGTATTCAGTCACTTTAGACTTTTTTGTTTGGATCAGCCGCACATAGTTTAGATCACTCCCTCATTCATAAATACTCAACCCTGTTTATTACAGGGTTATCCATAAAGAATACTATTGTAAAGACGACCTGAAACTATCTAAACATGACGATTTAAGGTTAAATTAAATCTCCTGCCTTGAATATAGTCTTTTAAGGCTTATTTAATGATTTGACGAAGAGCTAAACCTGTTTACAGTTGCAGAGAGTTATAATTGAAACAGACGGTGTAAATTCCTGTAAAGGTTTCATCCTTTGTGAGTAACCCTGGTCATTTTTTGAATAACTTTAAAACTTTTAATTACCTTATACTCGATCCTAGCCTCTAGAAACTTTGGTATATTGAGTAGAAGGGAGAGTGCTAGTGAGGGCAGGGTGTAGGATAATACACGAAACATCATACTGTGGGTCTGCTCGAGATTGCGGTACAGCCAGGGCCTACATAATATTATTTTATTCGGAACAATTCTGATTTATAAAATTGGCCGAAATAGCATTTAAAGGTAGTGTAAGCGTAATTTCACGTGATCCTCCGTTCAAATATGTCTGATTCACAACGGTACCCTATTCTGATCATGTATGAACTAGATATGTGCGTGTTTTTGTTTATTTAAACTGTTTTTTTTAAGTTTCTCTGTAAACTTTTAGCTTTTATATCACATTTTTGATCAGATTAAATATTCAATCAAACATTTCTTTTTTTGCTTGGATGGAGGGTCAATTAAAAAAGTAATGTAAATTGAAATTGCAATCTATCAAATTATTCATAAAATTAGATTTTTTTCCGGCATACAATCAGTATAATAAGATTATTCCTTTATAATTAGGTTTACGCACTTGTTTTATAAGCATATATAATATATAGTATTCTTATACATACATGTATATAATATAAACATATATTTAGTATTCTTATATATACATGTGTATATAATATAAACATGTAATATTATTTTCCGGAAGAAACAATTTTGACTGAGGTTTTTAATAAAAGTAATAATTTGACACATTAAATGTGATAGATAGTTTTTGTGCCCGGCTAATCCTAACTTGTATTATCTTTACAATTCGTTTATCTGCTGGTTCACCATTCAAAATAAATTGTTCAATGTAAAATTTTAGGAAGTTTTTACTAAGGCAAAAAGTTACCAAGACAAAATTTGACCAAGGCAAAATGTTCGCAAAACAAATGTTACCAAGGCAAATATTTACCAAGAGAAAATTTTACTATGGCAAATGTTACTAAAGAAAGTGTTACTTGCAAAATGTGTCTAAGCAAAAAGTGTTACTAGGCAAAATGTGACTAGGCGAAATGTACAAGTTTACTTCGAATCCAACCATTGCATCACAACCAAAAACCTGACGATTTTGAACATTTTCTCGCTATGACAAAAGTTCAATTCAAATAAATAATAATTCAAAGCACAGTTTAGTTATGCCCTCTATTGGCTGGCATTCCAGCTTAAAGGGACTGTAAGCGTAATTTCAAATGACAATCCAGCAAAGATTGCAATGTATATTATTTACAAGGATACCCATTAAACCTTTATTTCGTCATTTATGTAGAAAATATTGTTGTTTTCCTTTGGTTTCATAATTTTTATCATTCCTAATGCAAGTCACTTTTGTAATTAAATCCACAATAGATAACAATCAGTTTTTAAAACTATAAACAATGATATCTAATTCATAATTGATCAGACAAAGCTTTTAAGGGCATTGCCAACTATGTACGGAGGGTCATGTGAAATTACGCTCTAAAAACAGAGCCATCGTTTCCAAAGAGGATTTTTCGTAATTGCAATTGTGTATACTCTGCATACATATTGAAACTAGTTCGTTCTGGGCGGAATTTGTAAACAAGAATAGATGCATCAGTGTTCGTCTAGTATTCGAGGGGGTTAAAAGCATTAAATTTTGACAATTTTGATAATTCACATAATAGTTTCCTATGACCAGAATATTTCATTGATTTTTTTATGTCAGGCTTCGATATCCGTCTTGTGTTTACATTACCGCCCAGAGACAGTGCAATACAGTACAAAAGATGCGTACACCTCTGAAATAACTTTCCTTGCATTATATCCTTGACTCAGATGTTTTAAGTATTTATTCGACTTACAATTCTAATTTAATTTGTTAAATTCTAAAAATGTTTCAATTTCAAGCTTTGTTTCAATTTAAACGGTCCTTTGATACCAGGGAATGATCAAATTAAAGCTTGAATTATAATGGTAGAATTAAACAATCCAAATCAAACACTTTTCATGCCGGAAAAGTGACATTTTTATTAGATATAGTTTTAAAGAGTATAATTTGGGCATTCCCTTTTTTTGAAAATGGACGTTAAATTCAGGGGAAATTAGTTCCAAAACTATTTCTAACACTAAGTGTTAGAACATGGACCAAGTCTACAAGCTATCTTTTCCAAAAGTATATATCTATAAATCGAAGGGGAGTTACACCATACATTTATAAAAATGGCTAAGACTAAATAATGAAACAAAAAATGTCAATTTTAAACTAATAAGAAGGTGGGAGTATTAGTTTTTGATGATACTTGATTTCATTTTCCTCCCTATTTTGAAACAAAAACGACATTTAATTTTCAGCTGATGTCGTGTTTTTGGAACATATCCTGGTTTTGAGACAGTTCCTCGAATTCATATCAATGTCAATTTTCAAGCAGTTACGAACTTACGTGTACTGTTATTTTTTAATTTAAAAACCATTAAAGCATTGTGAAATAAAAATATTAATATAACTTTGTTTTTACAATATAAATTTAACTAGTAATGCGGGAAATTGTTTATTTAAAATACGGGAAATTAAATCAACTTTGTCCTTTTATTTAAAAAATAGAATGGGGAAACAACGATCTTAGAAATAATTTAACAGTTTATTTAGTCTTTTTAAGTTAACTTTTACTTTCAGTGATTTATTTTGTAAGTTATGTAAGTGAGCTAGTTGTAAAAAGCGCATTATACTCAAAAACGGGAAAGTGGACCGATTGGGCTGGAATTTTTTTTTGGAATTTTTTGTAAAATTATTTTTCAAATATTTTTTTCTAAATTTTTTTTTCCACGGGCCCTTCAGCTAGTACTTTATAATAATCTACCTTCGCAAATTCTAAAAAAATTCAAGAAAACATGAAAGTAAGATTAAGAACTGTTATAGCTTCTCCTTGATGCTCAATTTAACAAATAGATATGAGACATTTCCCGGAAGCGGTCGTATTTTGCATAATTTGTCCATCTAAAAACAAAAACCCTTGGTTATGTTCTGTGTGCGGTTTTATATTTTCCTTCGCTTAAAGTTTTAAATTAAAAAAGTTTAGGGACTGAACCCTTTCTCAAATTATGATTTAATAAACTTTATTTTGTTCTAAGTTGCAAAGAAATGTTAGCCTAGTGCGAAAAGCGGCAAAAAAACGCCAAAATGTCAGCTCAACCTCATCTCAAGAATTTAGAAAAGATGTATTTAAAATATTCGTTTAGAAACATGTTTAAAATATCTTCATTTTTATTTTTTTAAACACTTGTATAAATAAGCTTTTGGTGCGTACTGTATAATAAAGTTATAAAGCAAAAATAGATTGAATTCAAGAGCAGAATTCTTCTTGCTTCACATGTTTATGGCCTCCAATCCATTTATATGGACAGATATTATTTATCTGGAGGAATTGATATTTTTCTTGTGTAAATGTAGTTGTCAAAACTACTACAGATTCAATTAAGAAAGCTGTCTCACATTGTTTGGGGCCTCCAACGAAATATATAAAACAGGTACTGCAAAGCATGGAAAAATAAATAAACATAGATAGCTTATGTACGCAAAATCACTAAGAATTGTACAGTCCGCGAACTCATACTTCTAGGGGTCAAAGTGTACTTCAATGATAAGCGAGGTGGTTTGGTGGTTTAATGGATTTCATCATAATAGAGTGCAGTAAAATAACTCCGGGAATGGAACTACTTGAACAACAATATTTCACTGAGCAATATATCATATTGACAAGAACTGAAGAAGGACATGAGAAGGACTAAACTAACTTAAATTTCTCTCTACAGAACTCATGTACACCACAAGTACTCGATGACATAAGAACAGCAAATGTTCACAACCGACCTAGTTAATCTATATAATAGGAATATCTTTAAAACATCTCTGTACATTTATATCTTTCAAGATGAAAAATGTCGTCTTATGCGCAATCTATCTTTATCTATGACTGTAAGCTTTCGCGTCTCTTTTCTACTAACAATGTTATCCTTTAACTGTTTCTCTTCAAGTCCCCATTTTTCATGGTAATCTGGAAATCAACAAAAATGTTCGTAGATTTTCCAAAAAAAAAGGCAACTTTTCCGAGAAAATAAATTTCAAATCTGACCGTCTATAACCTTTCGAGTGGTCTTCTGGATTGCCTCAAAAAAATTGGGCCTCATCAGTTCAGCTTTTTGACCAAAGTGTATTTCAACTCACTGGTTAGAAACTTGAATTGAGATTTATTGCTTAAACTTTAATAACTTCTGCTCAAACTGGGAGGGGAGGGGGGCTGTGTGGACTAACCCCCCCCCCCACAGGAGAAGTGAAAACTATGAAATTCAGGGGGGAGAGGGGGTTCAGTTACCAACAGGGAAGTAATATTTTTTTTTGGAAAATTTCTTCCATTATTTGTTAAACTAAACGTTTTATTAAAATCAGAGGAAAATTTTGTAAATTTATCTAAAGTTAAGAACAGAAAAGTTCTATAAAGTGTAAAACCATATTTGTAAATGTCTCTCTCCACTAAGGTAAGTGTGCCACTCTCCACAAAACTCAAGGATGTAATGCAAGGAGAGTTAATTTCAGTTGCGTATATTATGCGTACATATTGAAACCAGTTCTCTCTGGGCGGAATTTGTAAACAAGAATAGATGCATCCTTGTTCGTTTAGTATCTGAGGGGGTTAAAAGCATTAAATTTTGATAATTTTGATAATTTAGAAAATATTTTCCTATGACCAGAATATTTCATTGATTTTTTATGTGAAAGATGGATCCCATGTCGAGGCTTTGACATCCGCCCAGAGACAGTACACTGCAGTATAAAAGATGTGTACACCTCTGAAATAACTTTCCTTGCATTACATCCTTGACAAAACTCTACTATTTCTTCAGCTTCGGTCAGTACACAGCAAAACACTGCAGTACACGCCAAAAGCTTAATTTAATGTAAGTGTACTCTACTTAGCTAGAAAAGAGGCCATTTTGTAAACTGCTCCTCATTTAAAGTACAAGACAGACCTCAGGACAAACATATTTAATTTGTACAGCATTTATAAATAATGCATGCTGACTTTAGAATTACACCTTATCATCATACCCTTCTTTCATAAAAAAGGCATTTACTCGTACCGGAAGGTCTAGGCTACCTAGTCCGTACTTAGTGCATGTACTGTGTTGTCGACCCCAGCAATTTTGAATTCACATCGAGTTAACCATACTTTGTGGTTTTAGCTTACCTGCAAACAGCCAGATATCTTTCTGTGGCAATCCCCATGATCAAGAAGGTGGTCCAAGACATTAAAATGTTCTTTACAGGGTACCAGAAGTACGGGAACATGTAGACATACACCTAGATTAATGTTAAAATAATGTTAGTTCGATATAATTATCATTCATTTTTAAATAAATTTTTATTTGAGAAATAGAATTAATCTTTCTAGCCATTGGAGACATATACAGTGATTATATCCACCTAAACCCTAAATAAGCCATACATCGAAAGAATTCATCAAATTTCGTATTCTTACTAACTTCTCATAGTTTCCATGTATATATATCTTTACTATTTAAAACCTTAGTAGAAATCAAAATTGAAATAGAAAGTTTTCTTCATTGTATTGATATTTACGACGACGACTGTAGCTTATTTTGATCTATTTTACTTCTTTTTAACTTTAATAATTTATTTTAATAAAATTTTACAATATTTTTAAATATTTATATGATATCAGATGTAAATATTTTGAGATTTCTATTTTTTTTTTTTTTTTTTTTCTTCTTGTTCATACATCTTTCAATCATATGCGGCTAATTTTAAAAATAAAAAGAAAAGAATTTTTTTTGATGTCTTTTGGGATTTACAAGAAAGAACTATTTTTAAAGGATCTTGCTTTTTTGCTGAACCATGTATTTAATTGAACTAGCTGAGGATCTTGCTTTCTTTCTCATAACTCTATATAGAATTGTTTACTCTTGAATTGCACCTGACTGAGCAAAAAGACAATTTCCTAATATGTTCTTGGGGGTGGGGAGAGCGATAGTCTCAACCCCCTCCCCCTTCCCAGTGGGGGGGACGTCTTCCAAGCCCTTATCTCTAATATTAAGAGATTTCCCTTCCACTTTTTCCTGTTCAATTTTCTTTTTTCTTCTTGCTCCTTGTTTCTTTTTTCTACACTTTTAGGCCTCTCCAACTAGTTTTTTTGACATCAAGTCCCGGAGCAGGTAGGAGAGAGATAAGGATGTTTGTAGGAGGAAGGGTATAGGGGGTTACTCCCTGTGTTCTTTCTATTATACTTTTTCCGAGTTTAGGGGAATTAAGGAAACCAATAACTGCACCCCTTATGTAAAATGGGGAGTTGTAAGCCCTAAAGCCCCATTGAGAGGAATTTTCCACAGCAGTCCAATCCTCACAGCTGGTCGAATAAAAAATCGGTATTGTTGTGCATGCCTTGTATAACTATCAGGGATAAGACTGAAGATGACTATTTTACTTCTAGATGTTAAGGAACTCCGCAAGAATATTTATAAGGAATGCGTGAGTAGGTAGTTGTCAAACATAACATGACATTCAAGAAGGGGATATGGGGGGGGGGGCTTAAAGAGGGATGTAGAATCCCCTATTTCTGGATTATTAATAGCATCCAAATTTTTACATAATTTCAAGGTTTGGTAAGTTTAAGACCTTTAAAATGATGGAAGTTTTAGATTTTTAAAATCAATATTAGGTTTTATTATTAATAATATGAAATAACCACTATTGTAGCTCTTAAGCCCAACGCTCCACAATATGTCTCCCAATATCTGTTAAAAATAATGATAAATGCTTCTTTGCCTTCACTGCACATTTGAATAATAAATTTCAATTCAATTCAATTATTTTGTTCAATGTTCTAAAAGTGAAATAAAACCTCTAAAAAATCCAATTTAAAGGTAATTGGGAAGATAAGAATAAAATACATGACTAACCAAATGTCTATAATTATTTCTATAAAGAGACTGTACAAATTTCAAAGAACCCTCTATATTTAGAAAGGCACGCTCCATTTACAGCGTATTACTAGCTTAAAATAGTGATGAATTTCCTCAATTGTTTTTATGTAGAAGAAACACTTTTATGTAAATAATCAACAAATAGATTTTTAGTCTGGTCTAATAATGGTAGGAATACTTGAGAACATTTAACACAGAACACATACACACATTTACTGGAAACCAAGAAAATCAAAGTTTTATTCTGGACTGATCAAATACTAGTAAACTCATCGTCCACTAACTCTTGTTTCTGTACAGGTTGACCTGCTCGCCCTCGTCGGGAATCCCTAATTTTGCCAAAATACCAGGTGAACTCCCCATTGGAAATCCCCGGATTCCTTCGGGCCTCTCAAATCGGTAACAATTAGAATTCTTCCGCTCTAATATTTACAACAGAAAATAGGGATATATATTTTATTCCTCACTAGTCACCAAAAAAGATCATTATCATTAATATACAACACTATTAAGGATTAGAGAAAAGCAGAACTTATTGATCTTACTCATATGAAATCCAGCAAAAAATGGTCTCTTCCGTTGGAAGACAACAACAACTGGAATCAATGCAATCTGACTTTGGTGATCTAGAATCTTGATAGCTTGAATATACAGTGGATACAGAACAGATGACATGTTTAAGTTTCTACCAAAACTAGTTTAATTTGAAGAATAAGCTTGTCAACCATTTACTTCAAGACCCCCCCCCCTCTATGTAATGTTGTCTTCAACCTAAAAGCTCCTCTCGGAGACGAGAAACCAAACCAAACAATTTCAGCCCGCTTCTCTTTGTTCTCCGACAACGGAATATAAACACTTTTATTAATTGTGAACCACTTCAAAGTTAAGCAAAGAATATTTTCATATAAAGAATTCGTGACTTTCCTTAACATTTAATTGTCACTCTTTTCGGAAGTTTTAATGTATAAAAAAACGTCTTAGGACTCCCCGACAGTTTAACCCACAGATACTCAAATAGATCGTAAGAATCTTTTCATTATAAAATTCGTAAACCATTGTAATAATTATTTATCATTATTCATTTCATTTTTTTTAGGAAATAAAGAGTTTTCTGCATTATCGATTTTGATTTGAGGGTTATTCTGTTCTATCTGTTCATCGTCAGAATCTTGTTCCTTTCCGACAACAAAGCTCTTTTAGAAATGTTTCAGGAGAATGAATGGCTTTCTTTTCCAATACGGGAAGACGACATTCAACAATACCAGAGAGAAACTGAGGATGTCAACAGGCCTGGGATCCCAGCCAGTCAACATTTGGCCTTCTTTAAGGTAACTTGTCAATTCTTAGAATATATATCATTTCATAAAATCCAATATGACAGTTAGAATAGTTATATTTTAGGTTTCCTGAATAACAACCCTGAATAACAAGGAACTGGTAGCTCCTACTAATCTGAATACTATAATGCTGCCCCCACCAACCATCCTCCTGAAGGTGTAAACCCTGAATAACAAGGAACTGGTAGCTCCTACTAATCTGAATACTATAATGCTGCCCCCACCAACCATCCTTCTGAAGGTGTAAACCCTGAATAATAACAAACTGGTAACTCCTACTAATCTGAATACTATACTGAAGAACACTGAAGATCAAATAAAATGATTGAATAGGTACTGTTAATATCAAAAATATAAATAAAAAGAACAATATTTTTATACACATAGTTATTCAACAATACTTTACCATAACAACCAAAACCAAAACCAAAACCAAAACCTAAACCTAAACCTAGACCTAAACCAAAAGCTAAACCTAAACCTAAACCTAAACTTACCACTGGCTCGTATTTGAAAACCTTGATAGCGCTGTAATCCCAGACTGTCATTATTAGGTAGCACAAATCTATATATATATTCATTTATTCATTTATTCATTTATTCATTTATTCATTTATTCATTTATTCATTTTTTCATTTATTCATTTATTCATTTATTCATTTATTTATTTATTCATTTATTCATTTATTCATTTATTCCTATTCATTTATTCATTTATTCATTTATTTATTTATTCATTTATTCATTTATTCATTTATTCATTTAATCATTTATTCATTTATTCATTTATTCATTTATTCATTTATTCGTTTATTAATTTATTCATTTATTCATTTATTCATTTATTCATTTATTCATTTATTCAATTATTCATCCTTTCATTTATTCATTTATTCATTCATTCATTTGTTCATCCTATATTTTATTCATTTATTCATTTTGTCATTTATTCGATTATTCATTTATTCATTTATTCATTTGTTCATTTAATCATTTATTCATTTATTCATTTTGTCATTTATTCGATTATTCATTTATTCATTTATTCATTTATTTATTTATTCATTCATTAATTTGTTCATTTAATCATTTATTCATTTATTCATTTTCTCATTTATTCGTTTATTCATTTATTCATTTCATTAATTCATTTATTCATTTATTCATTTATTCATTTATTCATTTATTCATTTATTCATTTATTCATTTATTCATTTATTCATTTATTCATTTATTCATTTATTCATTCATTCATTTTTTCATTCATCCTTCCTCTTTCTTCTTAACCCCAACAAAATAAATGAATGTTTCCCTAGTATGGATAAGGTGATCAAAAGCTGATTAAAACTCGATTTCATCTCAGGTTTCCTAAAGAAATAGAATACGCTATTATTATTATAATAAAAAGATTAATAATGATAAAAATAACAAAAATATAAAACAGACTTGTTTAAATTCTCCCTTTCTAGTGCTAATCTCATTTGGTTTCGCAGATTTTTATATATCTTATTGGAAGATTTGCAGGATGTTTGAAAATCTACCACCGGGTTATGATATTAGATCTCCAACAAACTAGATTACCCTTTGTTCACCTGTTTTTAGAGAAAAAATATTTCTCAACATAGGAAAAAGGAATTGAGTTCTTTAAACAAATTCTATTTTTCTAATCCCACTATCTATCACCCCAGTTAAGTAAACCTTTGATATTTCAAACTATGAGTGCCGTTAGATCTAAAAATCTTAGTTTGAAATATCAAAGGTCTACATCGTCAAGTTGCAAAGAGTTTTAACTAGCGGTGGATTCCAACAACCAAATAAAAAATATTGAGAAGAGTTGTAATCAACTAGATTATCAAGTAATTGACAATCTATATTTAATTAAAATTCTAATCTTCTTGATGGAACCATGGTACCACTCAAGGTTATAATGCAAGGAAGGTTATTTCAGACGTGTACGCATCTTTTGTACTGCAGTGTACTGTCTCTGGGCGACAATGTAAACACAAGACGGATGTGGAAGCCTGACATGGGATCCATCTTTACATTAAAAATCAATGAAATATTCTGGTCATACTCATAGGAAACTATTATGTTAATTAACAAAATTATCAAAATTTAATGCTTTTAACCTCCTCGGATACTAAACGAACACTGATGCATCTATTCTTGTTTACAAATTCCGCCCAATATGTACGCAGAGTATACGCAACGGCAATTAACTTTCCTTGCATTACAACCATGGTACCAGTTTGTTAATCGTTTTTGAAAACGATCGTTAAACGGTCGTTTTTTGTTTCGTTTTCCGATCGTTTTCAAAACGATCGTTTCATGTCGTCTTATATGTAGATAAAAAGTTGTGGGGGAGCTAAAACATCTTGGTATTTCCTTTAAAACTGCTCAATGATAAGTACCGATGCCCTTCAGGGCGGTTTCCTCTCCCCTCATTAACGAAACGGCGAGCTTTATAAAAACAAACTTTTTTAAAAAAAGATCGTTTTGTTTTCGTTTTTTGTCGTCGTTTTCGTAACGAAACGATAGTTTTCAAAAAATGAAAACGTTAACACCCCTAGGTACCACTGATTCATTTTAAGTATCGGGCCGACGTTGAACACGCCAGCGCAAGCTGTATAGTACACATACAGACAAAATAAGGCAAAACGAGACAGTACGTCACAATAAACAATCCCCTTTAATTTATATTACTGGAGCCCAAAAGAAAAAGAAAATATGTTTAAGTGCTATGTTCATGTCTTCAGAAAAGTAAAAGTGAACTTTGAAAGTAAGGAAAAATCTAATGCGAAATCTCTAAGTCAGTTCAGTCTGTGAAGTTTGTTTTAGTCTGATGCACCAACCATGATGATAATGAAAAAGCTTCATGTCGTCTTCATTACAATTTTTCAACCAATATGACTCTTTAAAGAACACTTCAAAATTACCCTTAATATCTTAAACATGTGGTCGGCTTTTTGTGCTTTCATAAATGCTGGAAACATTTCAATTTCAAAACTAAGTCAAAATTGTGTAATGGAATAGGATTTCTTCTTTTAATTTGAATGATTTAGAACTATTCATAAGAAATATTTATTCTTCTTTAATTTCTTCTTTATTTTCTTAATCATGAGGTTCAACTGAAAAAAAAACAATATTTACGAAATTATCATATATACATACATTTGTTAAGGATAATCTATATTCAATATATATTTTGAAATAAACTATTATCTTCTTATTATTTTTTTTTTAGAAATTTACTTACATCAGTTGGACAAATTCTATCTTTTTATTCTTTCCTATCCATTCTCTTCAGTCCTAAATTCACATTCATTTTGGATAAACAAATAAACAAATTTGATAAATCAATTTTCTTTGAATGTTTGCTTTTGATTTACTTTTCTTTAAATCCAAATAAAATGCCTGATGTTTCCATTCTAACTTTTTAACTCCTACTGGCCTAAATATCTGCGCATTTCTACCTGCGCACTGTGCAGTGTGCATAAACTTTCAAATCTTACAAACTATAAATATACATAAAACATGAGGAAATAAATCACAATGTTATTTTAATACAAATTGTGTAAACGTTTAATAAAGAAAAAAGTGTTTGCATTGAATCATAAATATAAGGAAACTGACTAATAAATTCTGTACAATCGTCTCTGAAGTCTCATCCTTTAAGGGTAACCCTGGGTTCGCCACAAACTTAAAGTGTTTTTGACTTTTTTGCTGTTTTTAGTGAATTTGGTAATTTAACTCAAAAAATTTTAAATTTTTCAAAATTCTTTTTCAAGCATGAATATAGCATGAATATTTAAAAAAAATGAGGTGTAACATGTAATTTTTTTTGGGAGCATTTTAGTGATTTCTCGAATATTAAATTGTTGGATAAAAACCTTACGGACGATTCAGAAAAATTATTTATTTCGCATTTTTTTCTCGATTATCCCTAGTAAACAACAAGTAACTTTAATGCAGTTTTTCTGGTTCTGACAAACAAAACTTGGAGTTAAGTAACTTTTTAGAGTTTTAGGATTTCAGGATGCATAAATTTTGATCTCAAAGGAATTGAATGTTTGCCACAAACTCTAATTTTCTAATCCTATATCTCTGCAACCCGATGTCGTAGACCTTTGATTTTTAAACTATACATTTTGTTAGATTAAATAGTCTAATTTTTAAATAAAAAAGATACAACATTAGGTTGCAAAGATGTAGGTATTAGGCAATATGGGCAAAAATTCAATTCCTGTATAACTCAATTTTCTTGGAGTTAAAGTAAAACACCAACAAAATCAAAAAGTTTTTTCAAAATTGCTTTTTGATTTAAAATAAAATCTCATTTCTAAATTTGATCTAAAAATGATCATCTTATTGAATGTGGGGTACCAGAACCATAGATAATAGATCATTAAAATTTAAATATTTTGGCTTATCTAAAAGGGAAAAAATTGCTTAAATATAAAGCTTATGCTCAGAGTATGTATGAATTCTATCAATGGAGAGGATTTGTATAAAAATTCGGTAAATATACAATATAACAATTTTTGTTTAGTATAGTCAGAAAGTCGCCATTTTTCTATTTTAATTGGTGCATTTTCAAGAATAAGAAATTTACAAAAATGTTATTGGATTTAAAAAATTTTATTTTTTTTGTAAAATGTCGAAAATGCGCGTAAAAACATTATAAAATCCGCAAACTTCTTTTTATGTTTTTTTTACACTGTACAAAGAGAAGATGCTTACAGATAAAGCCACAGTTAAAAGTAAAAATATAAGATGGGCGCGAAGCGCACTAATAGTCTAGTATCTGTAAACTCATTAACTGCTTTTGTATAAGAAACCTTTCTCATGGTCACAAAAAGAACTGAAACTTTAGTTTTCTAATATTTTATCTAAGACATTTGCAGTACCTTTCAGAACAAAAATTATTTAACCCCCCCCCCCAAAAAAAAAAACAAGAAGGGGGGACGGGGACTCTCCGATGATAGATTTTCATTCAGCAGACTTGTAAAATTGCAAAAATGGTTTTTGCCACATCAACACGACTTCAAGATTTTTCCATGAATTCACGGCTAGCAGATTACCAAAAACAAAATCAGCATTTTGAAATATATTAAAGGGACTGTACGCGTAATTACAAGTAGCTTCTAAAGATGGTAATGCCGGATTCACAACGGTACCTTTAAAACCTTTAACTTATCAATGATGTGAAAGATAGGTTTAAAAGTATATAATTTTGTTAATGTATTTTTTGCAGTAGAAATGCGCAAGTAATCCACAATTTGTTGGTATCATGGCGCATCTGAGGTCTCTGAAATTATGTTTACGTTCACTTTTTCGGGGTTTCTTAGATTTTAAAAGAATTTTAAGGAAAATTTAATAAAATAGGAAAAAATTATTGATGTTATTTTTAAATGGATCAATGTCCGTCCGACTTGAAATATCAGTTTTGTTTCTAAATCCTTTAGTCTCGCGTCTTAAGATTGGGTTAGACCCGACTTAAAAAAGCTGTGCAGGTGATTTACTGATTATTAAATTATATATTAATTTAAAAAATTAGTCTCAGTCTAGTTTTCATGATATATTAAATTCACGAGAATTAGAGCTTACTCAGTAATAACTAAAACAGGAAGAAGACTTTTAGACTATTATAATCTAAAAAGTTCATCAGTATGATACACAACAATTGTGCAGTGTAAACAGACCTTTTCACGAATAACTGTTTAGTAAGACTATTTGCTATGTTACAATATCAAATGCAACAGAGCAATGCTAGAATGTCTTTTTCCTTTTTCATTGTTTTCTGGTGATCACTGTATTTTTTATCAAATAAACGTTTCCAGGCCGGTCTAATTTTCTTCCAAGCCCTTTGAAGCATAAACAAACTCATTCAATTTTAATAGAACTTTTCCAAAATATTAATCATCAATTTTCATCAATTTTCTGTGCACATAAGAGGGGTCAAAGGGACTATAGATGTAAACAGATAAACAGATAAACAGATAAACAGATACACAGATAAACAGATAAACAGATAAACAGATAAACAGATAAACAGATAAACAAATACACAGATAAACAGATAAACAGATAAACAGATTTCTAGTTATCTTCTTTTTATGGAATGGCCTGTCCGTAAAAAAAAACATTTTTAAAATTGAAAATAGTAAATTTTAGTTAGGAAAATGATGATATCTACGATCGTAAAGTAAAAACTACGGTTTTGAAAAAGCTCTGGTTTAAACTTTCAATTTTAAATCGACTTTTCATCCACAGTAAATGTAGCTAAACCACTGTTTTTTGTTTGTTTAATGAAGGTACTTTTTGGTAAGTTTTCATGACAAATTTTAACAAACAAAACATTATGTAAAGCAGGTTTCTTATGTTTGTCATTCTTAAAAAGTTGTATGTTTCTTTTTCATTTTTTCTTTTTGATCTTATTAAAACTTTTTCTGTTAGATGTGGGGGGCCGGGGTGAAGCTGATAGAGAAAGAGTATGGATATAAAACGTTGCAAGCCAAAAAAATATACATTATACAGGTCAGTCCAATAGTTTGAAAAATATGATCTTTAAACAAAAGTAATAAAAATGTATAATCAGGATGAGATTTTTTGAAAAGTATAATCGTTCTTCAATATTTCAAATAAAAAATAAATTTTATGGTCCGTCATTTTATAAATTTCAAAACTTCGAATAAAATTTTCGTCCAATTTTCCACAGGAATCCAGTAAAATATTTTGCTACAAAAATATTAAATATGGAATATTGTAATGCCTTTTATCAAAAGGAATAATAAAGATATGTCTGCAGAGTATATTTTGTAATTTTTTCAAAACTGTAATGTCCCTGTAATAATTCTGAAAGATAAACTGTGAAATGAGATATGTTTGTATATCTACAGGATAATCTAATTTTAATACAGTGCAATTTTTTTTAAATCCTGCAATTCCGCGCAAATTTGCCTGCAAATTGAAATTTGTTGTGGAATTTTGTTTTTCTATGATTACGCTTTGTTTGATAAAAATGTTATTGTTATATTTGCTTTGAAATACTACACCCAAATATCATGCACAGATATCTTGCCAGAGGCCGAATTTAAAAAATTTGAGCCGCGGCTTAAATTTCAGTCGCGGCTCAAATATGGTTGGTTCCGGCCACTTAAAATTAATGTATTCAAGGTTTAAAGAGTTAAGCCGGCGCTCAATTTAGACAGTTTTTGTCGGATTTGAGACGCAGCTCATTAAATTCGGACTACATTTGTTGTTTAATACGTGCTGGGTCAATATTACGCTAAGTAGTGAAGACTAGACGTTGCGACTGAATGCATAGGCAGTTCATGTTGCACCGGCTCGGATATAGACAATTCATGTTGTACCGGCTAAGATATAGACAGTTCATGTTTTACCGGCTAAGATATAGACAGTTCATGTTGTACTGGCTCAGTCATGTTTTACCGGCTAAGATATAGGCAGTTCATGTTGTACCGGCTCAGATATAGACAGTTCATGATGTTTCGGCTCGGATATAGATTGTTCAAGTTGTAGTTCAAGTCGTACCAGCTCGGATATAGACAGTTCATGATGTACAGGCTCAGATATAGACAGTTCATGTTTTACCGGCTCGGATATAGACAGTTCAAGTTTTACCGTCTTGGATATAGATAGTGCATGTTGTACCGGCTTGGATATAGATAGTGCATGTTGTACCGGCTCGGATATAGACATTTCATGATGTACCGGCTCGGATATAGACAGTTCAAGTTGCACCTGCTCGGATATAGACAGTTCATGATGTACCGGCTTCGATCATGCAACTTTTAGATTTTTATTAAATTTTGAAGAAATTATTATCCCACTTTTTTACTCCAGTGAGTTTCGAAGTTTTTGTATCCAAACAGAGTTTTGAAAATTTTAAAGAGCTGCATCTATTGCAAGGATGAAAATTAAATTTCTAAGGATTTTGTGGAATATATTTTAATTTGATTTACTAACCTGAGTATGTAGATGGCGGCTAGATTCCCCAGTAGTCCAATGAGTCCAACTATAGGTATTATTATACCCTCTGATCAGAAAACATTTTTATCAATTAAACAAGAATTAAATCAAATTTTGCTGAAGTTTAAGTTTTTGGATATATTTTCAATTTATTTTTGTATCAAATTTTATTTATATTTTGCAATTTTATTTATATTTTACAATGTTTTTAAAATCATCAATTTCTGTAGTCATCGCTAATTCACATTGTACACTCTATCTAGAGGCAATATCAATTTAGCCAAATAATCTATTTTAGCTCTTCTAAACCATATATTGGTATTTTTCCATCTTTTTAAATGAATGAAAGAGGAAAGATAACCAGGTTCAATCTAAATGAAATTATGTTCTCCTAATTGCATTTATAAACGGGTAAATTGGATCAAATGTAATTAATTCAAATGGAGCTTTTGCAAAATTACTAAAGTGGTTTTAAGATTTCAGAATGAAGAGAACTTAAATTTTAAAGGGTGAGGCCGGCTATGTAACATATTTGAACTGAAAGTGCAGTATTTTAGTGAAAAACATTAGGATTTATTTAATATCAATGAGACAGTTTTACAGTGTGCAATTTGTAAATAAGAGCGCAAAGTCGTTTGTAATATTTCACCTGTTGTATCAGTCAGCAGAAGAAACATGCGGTTTTTTTTAAATTCTTAAATAACATGGATAAAACATGTAAAAAATACTTTTCATACAGATACATATAGTTACATGTAATGTATACAATTACAAACAGGTTGA